AAGTGGGTTCCTCAACCGCAGAGAGGAACGTACCTAGCGAGGTCTAACAGAAGAGATGGGATTACGGCAGGATCCCTCTAAAGTGTGACATGGGAGACTAGCAGTCTCAGTTAGCATGTGGGTTCCTCAACAGCGGGGAGGAACATACCTGGCAAGGTCTAGTGAAGAGGTGGGATTACAGCGGAATCCCTCTCTTTTCCCCTTAAAATGAGCAGCAGGTGAACCCACAAGGTTGCGCACTCCGGAGGCTGCCCAATCGCACACCCCCTGTGCAACCTTGAACCTGACTGCTTGAAGTGTGGAGGAGAAAAGGATGTCGTGGTGCAGGTCAATGTGATGATGTAATAGGCGCCTTGACCGATTCGCTCTGTGTAAACATAATATTTAAACTTGAAACTATAATATTACGTAATGTAACTATATATGTTATGTAATAAGATTATGTAACTATGTGGACGCATATATGCATCCATAAGAGTCCATAAGGACTTGGAGTAATTGACACAGAGTCAATTCATAGTATGTACAAATATACCATAGACACATATGATATGTGCATCTCAAGTACTTTTAAAGGGACTTGTACAAGGGTGTAAGATAAGGGTCCCTTAGACACCATCACTTCAATGTAATTTATTGGGTCTCCACTGGGTTTAGCTTGTCCAGAATTCAAATCGCAGACATGAAAATGCCAACTATAAGCTCGGATTTAGAGATTAGTATATTATAAATTCAAAGTACAATGTATACTTAAGGCTGTCAAGCCTTATCTAAATATTTTTTAGGGAGGTTGAAACTTACAGCCTGAGTTTTGGTCAATCACTGTATGACAATGGGATGCATGAGAGTGACCAGCGACCCGTTTTGGTAGAGATTCATATTTCTCTTTGAATTATTAAACAATTTTCTGGAAACCGAATTGTACTACTACTGCATATTTAAAACAATTGGATTATACCAACATTAAGTCTATTTATTCGAGCCCCTTCAGCCAGAGATCCCCGAAGATGTAGTTCCAAAAGCCTCACAAGAACGAGAGGCTGTGGAATATGTTCACGGCCCCACTATCATAATCACGTAACATTTAAAAATCGTATATTTATACTACGCTTAACTGTGCTTTATTCCGTCGACCCCTTCAGCTCCTTATTGCGAACAAATCGGATTGACGAGATTCCATGAGTCCATATCGACAAATTGAACCGTATGATAACGGACCTGCGCAATGAATGAAGCAAGCATCCATAAGTGTTATCTCAGGCTCATAGTTACCGTAGAGGAAAAAATCGAGCAAGATTGTTGACGTAATAACTCTGAATCACCAAGGCTAATGTTGAAGTAGGTATATAAAGCAAATAAGTGACAAATCAGATATTCCTAAGTTTATGAGAGTCGCTAAGGGAGCTTTCGTCGCCTCTATCAGGATCCTTAGACATGTCCGACCCGTCATGCTGCCAAAGAAAATAATCAGACATTAGGAGAAAAGCAATATATTTTACGAACGTACAGGGAAAGCTTCTGTATACTGCATCGTCGACACCTCGACACGCACTGCATTGGCAACTGTAGCCTTGTCCGCCTATATTCATGTGTCAGAACGTAAGAAGGGTGCGAGAGTAGTATATGCTTACAGTTGTTTTCCGCACTGTTCCGAGCCTAAACCAATTCGATGCACCTCCTACGCCCATGGTTTTCCCTCCATTGGTACGGGCCGTGGCGGTAGAGAGACCATCCGTGACGCTCTGCCTCGTGTTCACGGTGTAAAGTAGCGACGCCGTATATACATGCGAGAGAGCAAGATTGGTCATCAGATACCAGCTGCTCTCCTCGCTCTTGTTACTCAAGACAAGAGTGACGAGCGCAATGATAGTGGGTCCCAGGGCGGATTCGACAGAGATTCTGGCCAAGCGGGAGATCATTGTGTCGGTTTGACTGAATCCAGATTTCTGGGCAAGTAGATAGTAACAAGCTATTTAGGCGAGATATATCAGATCGTTGGTAAAGACAGAAGGTGACATACTGAAGGCGGTAATCATGATATCGCAAGCCAATCCACAGGCATAATGGACGTTCGCGACTGGAATGATGACTCCCTCGAGGTACACGAAGCGGGGATGATATGTCATGATGACTTCGTAAGTTTCCGCTAAGGAGGCAATACCCCATGTCTATCAGATGTAAATATTGTCAGATAAGCACAGACATTTATATGGATGTTGACTGACCATTACAGCGGAAGCAGCGAGACTTCCAACAAGTGTGATACTTGTGGCGAACAAAAACAACCAATTATGACAAAGCTGCCAGCATCTGTGGGTATAAAATGCTTGACAGATAGCGGACGCAAGGGCGGTCGAGACAGGAATTCCAGATTGGTATAGATAGATATTGAGCTGGTATAGTACTTAGGGAGAATCTATAAGAAGATTGATAATGACGCACATATGCCCAATCTCCGAAATGAGTAACAAACTGCTTTAAATCAACATGCTGCGAATTTTTAGGAGTAGTTGATGACCTACACGATCGTACGTGAACCATGTGACATAAATCCACTAAATAATATAAGATATGAGTCGCGTGGAAAGTAGCAGGCAAGATGGTAATTACCTTCAATAAACAGACACAGAAGGCCCCATGGACAAGCCATTTTGTCCACCGCTGTTCGTGGAGGTAACGTTCGAGGTACCTCGTATATTGCAGAAACAGTACGCCCTGCTCATAAAAAAGACTTGAGAAATTTTCCAAAAATGCGCCCCTTAGCACAAAGTGCTCTGACCTGGAGAAAACCCATAAATAATAAGCCCAAGAATACAGGCCCGAGCGTCCTGTTATGAATGCGCGCTTCAATAAGTAGTTTGAAAAATTGTAAAGCATGAATTGGAGAACTTACACGCGATAATTATGCAGAAGCATATAGTCTACAAAGCCCACCGTATAGTTGGAGTTGAAAAGACCAGCATATTGGTAAGATATATTGCCATAGATGGGGTCGGTGAACGTATATGCCATGGTGGATGGGGTTGAGGGCGAGGGGGAGAAAGGAGTGGAGAGGACGCCAACGGGCGTGAAGCGTTGCGTGCCCAGTAATCGACCGTGTACTTGGTTTTAATACAAGGGGGAGCTGCTGCACCCGAGACATCGAGGAAATAAATAAAATCAATTATAGAAATACTTCATTACATAAGATGCTATTCCACCCGAGCAAGAGAGACACGGAGGAATCTCCACAAAGCCAAGCGTCCGTGTGTTTAAAAGGCGAGCCTGGATGTTGGATTTGGAGCAAGAAGTGGAAGCGATGTATATAAGGCCTTGAGCGCTCGAAAGATGGAGTTTTGAAGAGCTCAAAGGTGAAAACTGCAGAAGTTTACACGGTCGAAGTCGACCACGGTCTATCCTTCAAGCGCGCAATCCTTTGCCGGGCGTTTCACGATCATTAATATTCGCGATCGCATACTTTATGAATAAAATGATTAAAAATCCCAATGCAATAATATTTCTTCTTGAACATCTTAGAAAAGCAGAATATTTTAATACATAAAATTTTCTTCGCGGAAAATATTTTACCAATGGGGCCACGAACACCCATGGCCACCCTTGGCCACCCCATGCTAATCGCTTGCACTCAGACCACCAAAGACCACCAATCACCCTGCACGCGCAGCGGCACCCGAGACAAAATCTATTAAATTCATTTATGCTATCAAAGACCGTCCCTGTAGTGTAAGGACGTTACACGCCCTATACGGTGATTATGTCAGCAAATTATATTTGAAGATAGGTTTTATGATTCGTCATTTATTTCTATACGCATATATGCGCTCCCTGAATATTCCTTTATATTGCCTTTGTTCCATTGTCCTTGTTTCCATTTTTATTTCCATGCACATATGCGCCTCCGGCTTACCCCCTATGACTATTTCCTTTATTTTCTTGTCTCTGACCTTGGTGTCAACCATTCCTTGTCCTTTATTTCCTTTATCTCCTTTATTTTCGTTGTCTCCTTTAGTCTTTTGTTTCTATTATTCCTGCCACATACAACCCTTTCTATTTACATGTATATTTCTTTATGCCTCATTTTCCTTGTCGCGATTGTTTCCGTTATTTCTATTCTTAGATCTTACATTTCTCTCACGGCCTTTGTTCTGTTCCACATCCACCGAGCTTAATACTTAGTATAAAACTCACTTGTAATTTCGAAAATAAATCATCTCATTCTTCCCACTTAAAACTTGTCTTTTCTATCTCACTCTCGGCTCACTGCAAAATAAGCAGCAGCTTATATTATTTTGCTAAGTATTGCACTATTTTCTTACACCTTCGCCTGTGTGCATACACTGCGGGCACTTACAGTAGGTCTATAACACTTTCACTACAATGCAGAGATACATTTGATTCCTCGTGAATCCAAACGCTATCAAAGACCCCTGGTCCCTCGATATCAAATTTGGGTTCACGTGTCGAGGTCCGACGTCGTGGAGGAGAAGGACGTTATGTACACACCTAATATAAGTAGTATACAACTACTACTCATGTCTATAATATTTTCACTACAATGCAGAGATACATTTGATTCGAGGGTGCGGTCGCCGGTCTTCGACTTCTGCTACTCGGGTTCTGGAAGCCTCAAGGTCATAGCTAGCTTCAGGCAGGGAGGAGGACGTTATATACTGCACTAATGAGTATACAGCTACAGCTATTAGTTCTCTACTATACTTCCAATGCACTGCAGAAATACTTGAGAAAGACCCACATTTGATTCGAGAATGCAGCCTTCAATGTTGATACCATCGGCAGCCTCTTGGTAAGCAACTTGTCAAGCCTCGAGTCTCGAGGTTCTGCTTCTCCCGCTGGAGTCACGACGTTAAGCCTGTTCTTAATATATTTCCTGCCAATTTTTTAATACAGAAATATTCTAAAAATACCTGCCCCAGATCCCAATCCGGAAAAGCCACTGTAATCATAGAATATAAGGCACTACATCACTGTTACTTTCAGCGGGCCGCCTGGCGTAATGGCAACGCGTTTGACTTCGATCGTCTTCGCATCCGTGTGATACTAGGATATCAAAAGATTACAGGTTCGATCCCTGTGGTGGTCGTCATTTTTGACCATTTTGCTGAGGGTGTCGGTTTTTGGTATTAGCATGCAAGGTATGTAAATTCCTTTTTGTGCTTCTTTTCTAGTACTAACAACAATGCGAAAGTTAAGCCAACAACACGAGCGAGACACAAAATAACAATGAAAATCAATTTGTACTTTTATTTTATTAAATGACGTAAAGAACGTGCGTAAGCAAGCTATGTACAAAAAGGGTATAGAAATGATTCCTATGGTTCCACACCTCTGCCAGCTCACACACCGCCAACCAACACCCAACGCTCGAATTCACCCACACCCAATGACACAGCATATAACCCACACCATAATCCCCCAGAACGCAACGCACAGCCCACTCCCCCAGGACGCAACAAACTGTAAACGAGGTTAAAATGTTAAATGTCAAGAGTAGTACTAGATAATAAATGGCATGGATGAGAAGTACAATACAGTAAGAGAATACAACGGGTATCGTCGATAAGTAGAATGTTATCGATAAATACGTGAATCGATAAATATAACGTTCGCCGTTCGTGAATTGATAAATACGTGAATGAGATGGAATGGGTGAGATGGGATGCAACAAATCATAAAACATTAAGACAATGGGGGAAAATGAAATATCAATGAGAAGGGAGAAAAATGCAAACGACTGACCGACACAACATCAACGCAACAGCACGAGGAAGACAGCGAGAAAGGAACCGAAACTTGACGACCTGCACATCATCCACAAAAACGCGAGGAAAAGGAAATCTTTAACCTCACTAGCTCCTATCTCGCCTTGTGCCCCGGCCCATTCCCAAGCTCCAACGCCAGCCGATACACCACCTCCGGCTCGACGCGCTCCAGCGCCTCCCTCCACTGCGCGACCCTCCTCCGCTCCGCCAGCTCCTCCTCCAGCGGCCGCTCCCCCACCTCCCCTTCGGGGCCAAACACACACAGCTTGTCCTCCCTCCACGGCGTCCGCCCATTCGCAAAGCCGATCCACCTCTCCTGCAAGCCTTCCGTAACACGTTTAGCGTTATACGAAAAGTCCGAAATCATGAAATAGTTCTCCCTCCCTGCTATCTCATCCTCCTCCTCCTCGTCCTCCTCAGAAGACGAAGCCGGCGAATCATCAAAGCACTTGATCTTCCTCACCGGCCCCTTCGGCGAGATATTATCAAACAGATAAAGCAGATCCACCGCATGGTGCGCCGTAAACGTAAACGGGCTCTCCTGGTCAAAGACATATCGATACACGTCCACGCCCCCCTTCGCCTTCGTCGCACGCGCCACACAGTCCGTCGGCCACGCAAAGTGCGCGTCATTGAGGATGTTGAACGTCACTCGGTGCGCGTCCTCCGTGTCTGTGTTCCAGGAAAGCCCGTACGTGCGGAGGAGAGAGTCCGCTTTGTACACCCCGCGGATGACGGCGCGGATGCGGCGGATGAGGGAGACGGACGTCCAGAGGAGGACGGACGGCGTCCAGAGGACGGACTCGTACGCGCAGTCGCCGATGATGAGCGCGTCGATGTTCTCTGGGATGGGGTTGGACCGCCAGTTCGGGCGGAAGAAGACGCCGTCGTCTGTGGCGTGCATGACTGACGGGGTGTGCGCTATCACTGCGTCCACCGAGACTTTGCGCAGGTCGTCGACGCTTGTAGCCCCTAATCTGCACATGATCCTCTTCAGGGAGGACCCTTGGGACGAGACGGACTGCACCGCGGGGGGGCGTATCACCCCGCTTTGGATTATCGCGCGATTGGCGATGGGCTTCGTGGCGTTCGTGTGGGAGAGGAGGAGGGCGTGGATGTTGATGGCGCCGGCGGACTCGCCGAAGAGTGTTATTTGGGAGGGGTTGCCCCCGAAGGAGGCGATGTGGCGGCGCACCCAGGCGAGGGCGGTTAGTTGGTCGTTTAGGCCTGTGAATATTGTTAAGCGTGGTTAGGGGTGGAAGATGGGATGGGGGGACGTACCGTAGTTTCCTACGCCCACGTCACCTAGAAGGCGGTTGGATTCTTCGAGGGCTTCCGAAGCTGCGAACCCGAATAGACCTAGACGGTAGCTGGGGTGTTGTTAGCATCATACGCTAACTTAGAAGCAGATGAAAGACCCACTTGATGCTCACGACAATCACAGGTTGCTCAATCTCGACTGATGTTCGCACCAGCCTCCCAGCGTCGCATAGGTAGTGGCTCCCAGAGCCTATCACGTTGGAGCCGCTGCACATGACGGGGTTAGGACGAATTGGCAAAGGCCAAGCCTAATATACGCACCCGTGGATCCAAAACATGACAGGGAGTGACGCATCGGCGGGAATACCGCCTGGCCGCGTGATGACGAGGTTGAGGCATTCGAACTCGTCTTGCACGACGGGGAACGGCTCCTCGCGCACGAAGCCAAAGAGCGGGTCGTCGAGGTCGTTGCGCTTTATTTGTGGCGCAATGGGTCTGTGGGGCTGTTTGTCAGGGTCGGCCTGAAGTGTGTATATGCTGAATGCACTCACCCATGGGTCTTCGCGTCGGTGACTTGGGGGTAGGTCGTGTTGAGGATGGACTGGCGGAAGCGGGCGGGGACGGTAGCGTATTTTATGCCTCTAAACTGCTGGATAGGGCAGTCAGGGGTCGAGACGGGGTGGTGCACGCCGACAAAGGTCGTCGCTAGGGGCGGGCACGGGACAGTGGGGTGGGTAGACATGGGAGGTAGGAAGAGAGGGTGAGTCTTGGAGCAATTTCTGCGAGGCATTAAGACGGATTCCTATTAACCCGAGGTTGTAGTCCATCGATCGACTCGATTTCTCGAAAGAGGAAATCGCCACCTTTTGGCTGCAACTGTTTCGTGGGAGAAAGAAGCACGCGCATACTTGGCTCGTCTTTATAGGAATGCTCCGGGGCGCTTGGCAACCCCGTCAATACACGCTAGAAATATTACGAAATATTGTGCGATTGACGTCGATGGCTTTGGTTTATATCTTGACGTCGTTGCGCTTTGTAAGACACGACCGACAGTGCCGACGCCCACTAGCGGACTGCAAAATCAAATGCCACCCGGACTATCCCGGCCGATGATATATCCTGAGTCGTCATTGGTTTTCCCCGAGCACGGACTCCTTCGTCTCTTCATGTATACCTGTATTCTCGTCATGAAAAATCGGTTCATATATACCTCTACACGTCTACTCGCATCATGCCATCATTTTTACGTTATTCTAGTCGACGTGGCTCTGAAAAAAGTCTGCAGAAAATCCTTCCAATGACGCAATGCCCCGCGCGCCCTTAGACCCCTTTAGCCTCGGAACGGACATGTCTTTCCCTTTCTTCATGCCGGAAGTCATTCTGAATCATGCGACAACTCTTCCGCTCCCTTCCATTACTGCGAATTCACAACGATCTGCCCAAGGTCCCAATAATAACCAACCACAGGACGAACGTTCATAAATCTTCTGTGAACGAACGAGAACCCGGAGAGATTTGGCGCTATTGTTACCCCGCAACGCCTTCCCCCAATCATAACGCGCCTTCAATAATTCGGTAATTCCTAGGTCACACGCGCTCAGGCCTGGGGTTTATCCCAACCTAACCATAGTCACTCCATGGTCTAAAGCCTTATCCCGTGACGAGGTCCAGAGTGATATCGTTCGTCTAGACGGACATTACACGTAAAGAAAGCTGTTCTGAACCATATGCTGGGTTAGCCTTTACTCGCAGGCCCCAGACTCTGGTTCAGCGTTCACGTTTGACCCGTGATTTAATAACTCGAAAAGAAGCCGCTCTCGACTAACTTGACCCGGCGCAGCTTCCTTCCATAACAGGCGATATCCCAAAATACCCTCAGGCTTGCAGCGCTCCGTCCTCTAATCACCATGCTGTCATTTAGACTCAACAGGTAAGTGACTATTGTTATTAATTAACTACGGAGGCCGCGACACTTCAGTTCTGAAAGAGCACAGGTTCTTCATTCCATAAGCAAACTCGACTCCAGGAATTATTTATTGCCCTCAGGCTGTCTCCTCTGAATCATGTTCCTTGGGACTACAGAGGAAGTTCATGAATCAACTACGAACTCATTCTAGATCCATTTCCGGAAATTACTACGGCTCTCGATCCCCATTCAGATAAATCAAGGAAGGAAAGGAACCCCGTCTCGACTCTCGAGTAACTTGACTCGTTCCGGTACAGGCGATCCCTCAAATCGAATTATCAAATTTGGGAATTATTTATCGCGCTCTCTACTCGCCCTCTGAGTCAATCACCATGCCCGTCTTCTCGACTCTCGATTCTAGACTCCCGACTATTTACTCGAAGAATTATCAGCCAGAGGTCTCGACTCCTTAAACGACCACAAACACCCGGAAGTCATTAGGATCGCGATCATGTGTTAAGCTCGCATGCGTCAATAAGATTTTCCTCAAAAGATGCTGAGCCCACTGACATTTTCCTCCGGATTAAGTAACTACAAAGGCCGTAGATCCTTCATCATCGCCTCCAGAAATCACTGCATTTTTAATCACCATGCTTATGGTCTCGACTCTCGATTAGCGTAAATCCTGGCTTTGCGACGAATACTCAAACTTAAAAGAACTTGAGGAAGGCCGTCTCGACTCGAGTGGCCTGGTCTGGCACAGGCGATCCCTCGAATTCTTTCAAGTTGGAGACTCGAATTATATCGCGCTCTCTACTTCCTCCCGGAGTCAATCACGAACCTCTATTCCGACCACTATTTACTCGAAGAATTTGCAGCCTGGCCTCGACACACAAACACGCCGAAAGTATTCTCTGTCCGTGTTCGTCATCAAAAGAAAGAAAGAAAAAGTCTTCAGAATCTTCTGGGTTACCCACGACCCGGCCCGGTGGGAATCTGCCACAGACTATGCATTCGATATTTGGAAAAGAACGCCCACGCATGCAAGTCCGGAAATCACGCTGTGTTCTTCTTGAGTTTCAAGTTGTATCCGAAAAAGGTCATCGTGATGCTTCCAGAGTCGCTATGATTTGCTACAGCAAGAGTTCGGTTCAT